GACACGACGAAATGTTATCTTGCAAGACATGCACACCTACTCGTCATTTCGTCAATGCAAATTTTGCTTTAAAACCTTCAACTATTTTTCACTGTTTCTGGTGCTGGCGTAACCTCGAACAGACCTGAGGTGCTGGCGAACACATGCATCTCTTTTTCTGAAATTTTGATATCACTCTGTATATTTTGTAGTTGAGGGATATGCATGGTTTCGCCAAAGCCTCTATAGTGTTTCACAAAAGAAAGGCGATGAGGTTCGGGACTTAAATGAATCAATGCGTATTACTGATAAAAAACTATTGTCAGTATTCCTGCTGCATTAAAACATGACAAAATAAGTACTGACAAAGGGTGGCAAAGAATCAGTGATGGGATGAGAGTGTAAAGGTGCCGCGCTTCGTCCATGAACTTCGGACCAGGACCAAAATCATATTCTAGGTATATACTTCATCATTACGCTTTCAACTTCAGCTTTGTCTTGTCGTTGCGGGCCGGTGTCCAACTCTTGACTGTGCAAAAGGTTTAAGAAACCATAAAAAACATGAACGCTGATCAAGTGAGTATATCTCTTTTTAGGTGGAAAGCAATCGAAGGGCATTTATGATTATATTTGCATCGTAAAATCCACCTTTTAAGAGCAGGTGCAAACCTCATTGTAGGGTTTTATTTCCCATTGGAGCTTATTGGCTTTTAGAAATAGAAATGGAACTCGTGTTCAAGAGATTTTTCCTTTTTACTCGTTCTGTACCTCCATCATCATCCTCTTTCGGATCGGAGGTGAAACAACGAGTTTTGTGCTTAGTGTGGTTAAATCTAGACCCCACTTACCTCAGACCAACAGCATGTACTGATTTACGGATTGAGAAATAACCCAACCCGGCCGCATTATTTGTTCATGATAACGAGTTTCCAAAAACTGCATCTTTGGAATTTACTTTAATTTGATATTTAATGACCTGTAAACATTGGACTCAAAAAGTTTTCCATTACTCGCGATTTGCGTTCTGCGCATTATTTTTGAGCTCCGGTGAATGGTTACAGAGACATGGGAATTTAATGATAATGAACACGGAAAGAACGCCAAATCTGCTGATCTAATCTCTGGTCCTTCCACAGCTTATCAAGGCAACCACAGAAAAGTTTCCAGCTGTTATGGACCAAACCTGTGCTGAGTTAGAGGGCAAATTTGACGTCAAAGCACAGA